ATAAAACAACTAAAAATAACACATTTTAACGAAAAAACGATATTTTTTTTTACGGAACGCGATGACGGATTTTGACAAGCGGCATGTCGTCTGACTCGGTTTTTAGCGTAGATCACGTTTTTGATAACGGCGTTTTTCTACGATTGATAGTTTGAGCCACGGGCCAAATGTGTAACGTTTTGACCCGATGACCCATAAGAAACTAATGTTAACTTTGAACCCACTTCGGGAGGGTCAAATATTGTCCGATCTGGCTGAAATTTTTTTTGAGAGCGTTTTTTATGGATTGGCACGAGATGGGCAATGTGAACTTTAACATTTTAACAAAAAGTTTTTCTTGGTCTACTCTAAAGACACCTGTTCCTGTAGTCGACACTTACTCTATTTTGAGTGCGTGCTTCCTTCATACGGGTTATTCCGACAAGTAGGGCCCTTTGTCAACGTGAAATGCTGTTGGGATCGTGTGTCCTTAATTTTCTAGTTCGTAATACATCATGATGACATCAGTAAAGCACCAGGTGTCAATACTGTGCCGAATGATAGAGTTTGATTTCAGTGCCCCATTTGTGTAAAGCATATCTCTGGGAACGTGCCCTGGTTGCCTGAGAAAAGTATCAGCAGACACAAGGATCGAGGGGGAGGGGGGGTTGGAACCCCAATTGCACCGCCGCAGTCGCGCCAGTCCAGGCGGCTGGCCGCTAGGGTGGAGTGCAAAACTGGGATTGAACAAGTATACCTTGAATGAAGTACTTCAAGATATCCCAAGCTTGCGGCACACTCCATTCTGACTCATTGTCTGACCTTCAACCTCTCTCTAAGGGTTCGAAGTTGGGTCATTGGTTTGGTCATTGAGAAAAAATTGACACTTTTAACCCCCTGGGCCGCCGTGGTCATAATCCCGGGAGCGGCTATATGCGGTTCGGTGTGGAATTCATATAGGGATATAACTCAGGTGTCGATACGCTTTGCGATAACATCTTCAGCTTGCCCACAAGACATGTTAGGTAACAAACTAAGGTTTAATTACCAAGCTATTGCCGGCACTTCCCGGTTTTCGTATGTCACATCGTGTCGTCCTATACATTATTAGGTGCGCTTTGACGCGACAGAACTGTTTCATTTTAGACTAATTGTGCTAAGAAAAGTATTTTCCGATATCTAGCCAAAAAACGACGTTCTTGAGAACTAGAAAAAAAATGTTTTTCACCATATTTCAAAAAAGGTCGCCTGAAGGCCGGAAAAGCCGAACAGCACCTCGCAAAGAGGGCCAAGAAGAACACCCTGATGTCCAAAAAGGCGACCGAGAGGCAGGGGAAGGCTAGCCAGGCTGCAGGGACCTATCAGACACGGCAATCCGGGTAAAATGACAGAGTGTCGACTACTGGGCCAGGTAGTGTCGACTACTGGGCCAAAGGTGTCGACTACTGGGCCAATGAACATTGTTTTTGGTTTACTTTTTTGTGTACAAAAATGTATTAATTTCCATTTTTGACCTATGGGGCATTAAGTTTGATCCTTCCACTACACCCCCAAAATTTTTCCTTGACGCTACCATACACCCGCGCTCCGTTGTAGGCAATTTTGAAAAGCCTTGCTCTTAAACTGTCGACTACTGGGCCCCTTCCCCTTTATAAAATAAATTGCAAGTACAATTAGAACCATTTAGGAGTGTAAAGGTTTGAGATTGCAAAAGTTAACAAATAATGAGGTATTACGTCTGAGCATTATTGAGGTAGG